CCGGGGTGAAATGCACGACATAGTTGCACAGGCACCGTACATCCTGCCTGGCTGCGAAAGGACTTTATAACTACTGTGACCTACAATGTACATGTATGTATTGACAGGTTGTGATGGCAGTAGCCCAGCTGTATCACCACATTGCACCCAAGAGTGAGGTAGGACTGGTGGCCAAGGCTCTGGTCAGACTGCTCAGGAGTCACAGGTAGGATATTAGTAACGTACATATATAATCCAGTGGTGATCCTGCCTATGGCCAAGAAGTGAATGCCGGGTGAGTTGTGTTGCTGACACACTTTATGCAGGCTACTGGAAAAGATTGCAGTTCTTAGGACGGGATGTTAAACCATGGTCTACACCTCATCATTCATTGTACTTGTTGATAAGAGCTAGTGTGAATTTCCCCAATATATTAAAATAAATCTTTATATGCTGAAGTGTAGGTAACTCAGCTTCTGATTTAAAGAATCTATCTCAGCCCTTTGGCTGAATGGCTTTTTCATGACAATTATTTTAAAAACACATAGTCTGTAAAACTGCTTTTTGGATGCATGTCATGACACAAATGTAATTTAAAATGTTTGGTATGTCTTATTCCACAGAGAGATCCAGCACGTGGTCCTCAGTAATGTCGCCACCCTGACAACCATCCGGAAGGTAAGGGTGAGGACAAGACGCTACTTTTTCTCGGCTTTTTCTTGTGCTGTTCTTGTGCCGTTTTCCCCTGTTCAATCCCGCTTTGTACAGTCCCAGGCTCGTGGCGTGCGGGAGTTTTCAGGCTAGGTTTTGTTGGCTGGGGCGCCAAAAGCTCCTCTTGGCTGTAAGGTTGGGTAAGGCACTGTGGTGAAGTGAGTATGTGTCATTGTTTTGCATCAGTGGGATCAAGGAATGGATGAATCATCTATCTCAGGAAAAGCTTTTCTGATTGTAATTACATTCTTTGATTGGCTATGGCTTGATTATCCTTTTTTCTTGTTTTTCAATGAATGCAATAGAAATGATATTTTCTTAAATAGTAAGAATTGAAAATTTCTATAGGTTTGACATGACATACATCAATCATCTAATGTGTATGAGCTGCTTGGAACATTTTGGAGAAACGAAAACATGTGGTCGCCTATACCCTCCCCAATATAGTGAACCCTGTGGGATCTTACCAATGCTGTACAAGTCATGTACATGTATACCCTCCCACTGTTAAGATTCCACTGAAGCCTCCCCCATGTATTTACATGACTTTGTATAACACCAACTCCCCATGTACCGAATTGTTTTTGACCCCCCAACGTTTTATTTTGATGTATTTTCCTGGCCTCCTTGCTTGAATTTTTACACGGAATGGTCCAGTTACAGGGTCATGATGTACTTGGGGTAGATCTGTCATATGCCTGAAGTTTCACTCAGTAACAAGGCGTTTCCTGTTTGTAGGGAATGTTTGAGCCGTACCTGAAGAGCTTCTTTGTGCGACCCAGCGACCCCATCCACGTCAGGACGCTGAAGGTAGGGCAGCTGGAAACTCTGTTTTTTTTTTGTCACCAATATCAAACATGCGTTGTAGTGAGCATGTCAAAATGTACAATGGGTAATATTATACAGTAAACTTGATTGTAGGTACAGTAAACTTTCCTTCTTTCAAAACCATGTACAAATGTACATGTAAATTGGTGTCTACAAAGTTATGTTTTTCTTTCACTTCAGCTGGAAATTCTCACCAACCTGGCCACAGAAACCAGCATCTCGACCATCCTCAGAGAGTTTCAGGTAGGTTTGTATGGACACACTGTCATTCTTTGGAAAACAACATGTATTCCATACTAACATGTATTCTACAATGTGCCTGTAATGCCCTCTACCCATGATTAAAGGAACTGCAGTAATATGAGTAAGTCAGAGAGTTTGATTGACATGTCCTACAGACGTATGTGACCAGCTCAGACAAGGATTTTGTGGCGGCGACCATCCAGGCGATTGGGCGATGTGCCAGCTCCATCTCAGAGGTGACGGAGACATGTCTGAATGGGCTGGTGGGCCTGCTGTCCAACAGGAATGGTGAGTGCTGCTATCCGTTAGAACGTTAAATGGAGGTCCCGTGTTAGAGGAGAGCCACACATTCAGCATGTTAAAGAACCCACCACCACTTTATATCCTATTCGAGAGGACATCCCTAACCAAAGCTAGGTTCCTGTTTTCTTCACTGACCAGTGAGGAAATAAGGGCCTTTCCCAAGGGCACAACACTGGGGCTTGCCAGGGATTCGAACCCAGTGCCACCTTAGTGCCAACCTGGCAAGGTGGTGTTAGTATTAATATCGTTTTGAGAGAATATTTTTTAATGCAAACAAAATACAGAAATCTGGGACATTATCAATCCAATGCATTCTGACTAACCGTGTAACCATGTATGTTTTTTTCTGGCAGAGTATGTAGTAGCTGAGAGTGTGGTCGTCATTAAGAAGCTGCTCCAGATGCAGCCAGACTCCCACTCTGAGATCATCCAGCACATGGCCAAACTGGCAGACACCATCACGGTGGGTAGCATACAACTTTCTACATATTTTTTGTGCCATAATAAAAGGCCACTTTTACTCTGCACCCCTATGAACATTCCAACAGTGCCTTCTAGTAATGATTGGAGGTACTGCAGGAACAGCCTTTACACTTATGCTGCCTTTGTTACCCTCTGTCTGTAGAGTGAGGAATAACCTATTTCCCCCCGACTAATCCACTGTCACATGGGTGTACAGCATACATGTACAATAATCTGATGTGTATATTGTTTGCAGCGGAACAAACATCTCCAGTACATTAACAAATTGTGGATTAGAATAAACTGAAGCTAGAACTCATTGTAGGTGCCAATGGCCCGAGCCAGTATCCTGTGGATGGTAGGAGAGTACTCGGATCGTGTCCCCAAGATCGCACCCGATCTCCTGAGGAAGATGGCCAAGAACTTCATCAATGAGGTACATGCTCACCCACTACATTCTTGGGGAAGTTGTTTTATTTGTACCTCGGCTTGAGAATCACATAACCTGTGTGTTACGTGTATGTTGGTACACCTGTGCACTCTGCAGTGCCAACTAGTGGTTCATTTTTGTACTGCAGGGAGAAGTGCTCTGTTAGTACATGTACATGTACAGTTGGTGTTTTGTGTGGTAATGTAAGGTAATTTCAAACTTGAGTAGGTACAATCTGAATGGCATACAATAATTTTTTTTTCTGTCACTACAGGAGGACATCGTCAAGCTGCAGATCCTCAACTTGGCAGCCAAACTCTGCATCACCAACCCTAAACAGGTAAAAAAAACGATGGAAAAGTACATGTACAATTAAACCTTTCTTGTGGTGGGTTCAAAATTACATCCTAGTACTAGCTTCTAATTTGGCTGAAATTGTGTTCAACTTTAGTTGTCTTGCCTGAAAACTTAAATGAAGTGAAGTGAAACAGTGACTGTCGTAGAATTTCTAATAAGTTAGTCCTGCCTGCCTGTTTTTCAGACCAAGCTGTTATGTCAGTATGTGCTGAACCTGGCAAAGTACGACCAGAACTATGACATCCGGGATCGGGCGCGGTTTATACGCCAGCTCGTGTCTCCTGCGGGCGAGAAGGGAGCGCTCGGGAAACACGCCAAGAAGATCTTCCTCGCCTCGAAACCTGCCCCGGTGTTGGACTCTTCATTCAAAGGTGGGGAGTGTTCTTAGGGTTTATAATAGAGTGGATTCCTCAAGCTAACCGACATCTCGCACACACAGGTGACAGGTGGAATATAAGTTCTATGTGGCTTCAGATATTTTACTGAGGGACAACTGTGTGTGAGGAATGAATTCATTTTACTATAGACTGTTCCAAGGGTTCTTAGGAGCCACAAACTTACAGGTTTTGGCTGGAAAAAGTAGCTTTCCTGTGTCGTAATCGATCTGAAATGGCCAATATTAGGTGCTCAGTTCTTGGGTAAACCTGTCATTTGTCCCATTTCCCAGATCGTGACCAATGGCAGCTGGGCTCCCTGTCACACATGATCAACCAGCGGGCCAGCGGCTACTCCCCCCTCCCAGACTTCCCCGCCACGGCGCCGGACCCCACCGTGAGAAATGTGGAGGTGAATCCTTGGCAGCAAGTATGTCGTGTTGTGTGGAACTATCCATCCCGTGGACGCTAACCCTCCCGAGGCACTGGGACCTAAGGGCTGTGGTGTGTTTCCGTACACGTGTGTGCTGGTGTGTGGAAATGCACAGCCTGGCGCTCCTGGTGTTCCATGTCACTCCTAACCTGGATCCTAACCTGATCATCTGTTCTACTTTCAATCTGTCCTTTTGAATATTCTTTAACTTGATTGCATGACTGTTTTTTAGTTTGGTGCACAGGAAATGCCTCATTACTGTAATATTCATTTTTTTTTTACATTTCTTGGATTCATGGTCTCACACCTGTGTTTGTGGACGGGTCTCACATGGGTGTAGTTTTCCTTTGGGCATTGGTCTTCTGTTATATTTGCATACATTCTAGTTGGTATCTGTTTTGGTATAGTTTGGTAAGTGAAAACTTTTGTTGGAAGAGTTGTCATCAAATTTAAAGATCTTATAGCCACAATTTGTTACGAATGCATGAATGTATATATACTATGAAATCTTATTATATATCTTTTATGTAGTTGCAATTTTGGAATTTTTTTTGGGGGGGGGATTGCTTTTCTATACCACTGCGCTATTTCTGTCTCTTTCTTATCAACCAGTTTCATTAGCCAGTCATCAAGTTCTTCGGTATCCGTATCAAATGCACCTGATTGCACCATCTTGAAATTTTCTTAGCTTGGAGCTTCTTCCTCACTCCATGACTCTGTACACTCATATTCCTTTGCTTAAATTCTGCCATCTTCACTTGTACCAATATCACACTAGGACCTTCCATCTCCTGACACTTGTGTAAGTACATAGTACATTTTCTTCATCCCAATAACAATTCTCTGCCATCCAATTTCCCCATGCCAGAAAGTCATGAAGACAAACTTTTGAAATCTTCTTAGGTGCTGACGATTGAAAATTACTGTTGAACAGCTTGCCTAAAGATTGCTTCAGTCTATTGAAAATTAGGGCAAATCCTTGCACAATCTTGCTTGAAGCAGTTGGCACACTTGTGTCTTTTTGAATTATGGAAGGCTCCTTTTTTAAAAGCGCATCATATAATGTGCATGGTTTGCCAACAGAAGTTAAATTATATTTTACACAAGATATTTCATCATCAGATTCTTTTTACATACCAATTTACTTGTAACATTCCTCTGACTCAAATGAAAACTGGTAAAGCTTGACTCAGATTCCTACGTTCCATACGTGCTGGGATTGTTTATTCTCTGTACATCCAGCCTTAACGGCTCCCTATCGCTCTTTCTCCATGTATTTCATATGCATGTGCTGTTCTGCTAGGCTTACCTGTCACACCACATGTATCTTACCAGCCCTGATTACTTTAATGAATGATTTATCATCAGTATAATGCATCGGTGGGTAAATCCATGATTTGTATCCCAGCCTGATTCCGCCTGATTCCTGCTACTGATCCGTTTTATCTAAAATTTAGAATTCCATTAGTTTCCCCACAACTCATCGACGCAGGGTTTGAAAGCTTGAGCCATTGTTAATTATTTTATAGATCGCATTTCATGTGATATGCTGACTTATTTATCCTGGATGGTTAACGCTTTTCGATCTCTTGTGTTCACATTTGCTGTGACAGTACTTGTCTCCACGTAAAGGTACATGCATCCAATGCAATTTCAGGGTGGCAAAACAAAAAATAAGGAAATGCATAATGATATTGACATTTACTGCTGCCATTTCTTGGCCCTTTTCGTCATACGTAAAGTATTTGAAATAAGCTACATGTTTTATTGCCCTGAAATTGCTTTGGGGTACCTTAAGTTTTTTTTTTCATTTTTCATCCCTGCACTTTTTGTCCATTGCTTGCCTTGTAGTCTTCCAAACTGGCTAAGACTTTCATACCCTCTAGCTCATCAGAATATGTCTTTGTTGATAAATGATTTGTTAACGTTGATGGCTCTCAGTGCTTATAATATGATCAATGCATCATACTCTCCCTGATGCCTTATAACATGCTGTTCCATTTGTCTTCTGCAATTCGCACTATGTGTTCTTACCTCGGATCTTGCATCGGGATTAAGAATCATGGTTCATTGTTATTTGAAACATGTAATGGTTGGTTTTAGGATTTTATAGGCCCAAGAAGTCTTGCCCACTTATTTAGAATTGTGACTCTTGCATTGAGATTGAGTTGGTAGTATTAAGGGTATTTCTTTTTTATTTCAGGAGATCAACAAATCTATGTGTCTGTGTTAAAGTTATTGTAGGCATTATTTCAGGGTTAGCCAGAAAGTTCATCTGTGTTGGTTGAAGTCATTATAATACAAGTTTAAGTTGTAACTTCCACCCAAAGATGTTTGGTACTACCGGTAGAAGTTATTTTTTAATATCCATTTTGACGATCAGACTTATTTTTTTTTGGGGGGGGGGAAGAGACAGGAAGGTCATGTAAGCATAGAAGTTGAAAAACACTGTTGATTTAGGCAAACAGTTTCTTTCACTTGGAAATTCTGTTTATCTTTCTCCTTTCTCACCTTGACTCTGGCCATCTCTTAACAGATCTCAAGGCCATCCTAACACTTGAGCCTATTCATGCCTCCGATTTTTTTATTAAATAGAAATAACAACATTTTCAACAGCACCAGACTGTTCCCTTGGCTCCACCAGGAGGGTCATTGTTCCACACACATCCATCAAGCTAGACAACTCTGATTACATCCGTCTTTTCCTGGGATAGTACCACTGATTATCCTGGAGCTTCAAATTGAGACAGACATTGGCAATTTTGAAAATCAAATACGTCTGGAAGCTGAAATATCTATGAAGGTCAGGCCTGAAATAGAGAAACTGTTGCTTAGAGGGAAGCACGTTCCTTCAATGGTCTCACCAAATTTCACCATACACCTATGTTGAGCTGAAATATGAGGATTAGAGTTGATTTTATTTGCCAACTTGCCCATGTCTTTCCCGATTTAAGATGGCCAGTGTAAGATGCAGTTATCCCATTATTGCTTATATTTGATTAGAAAGACAGATGTCCTCCCATTGCTTGTAGGTTTCCCTTTTCAGCTAGAATCAGCAGCCCTCCCCCAGGTCTGAGTGATGATGTATGGCCACATCATACCAGGAGAGAGATGACTCAGTTTGTCATCCTCTGCTCTTTTCTCAGCTACAGTTGGGTCAAGGCTGGTTCAAGGCTCATGCATTAATTGGTGAAAAGGTTTTACGGCATCGTATTTTGATTGTACCACATCTACACCAATAGATTATGAGATTATACACCTTCGGGAAACCCTTACTGAAAACCTTGGCCTGGCAGGCACTCTGACATTTGGCTTAAGAAAAGTTCTTATTCAAAAGTTCATGTATTGTACAGGTACAGTACAGGTATGTACATTTTATAAGTCTAAGTAACTACCAAAAATGTTGAAACACCAGTGAAAAGGGTAAAGTAATCTCATGATAATTCATAGATCAGGATATGATCATAAGACCCACTCCTGTGCACAAAAGAAAATCACGAAAATTGGGAATCTATATTGAATCATCCTATTTTCATACAAACTTCCAGGGCTCACAAAAAATACTGTCCTTGGCAATGGGTGACTTGATCATATAGGAAAGTAAGATACACTCAGTACATAGAAGTCTTCAACCATTGTTTCTATCCTTTTTGCATCATTTCATTTACTAGGAGACGGTGAGAATGTGATCAGATGATGGGAATTAACACGAGCAGAAACGACACCAATAGAATGGTGTTAACCAACCCCGCATCCAAAATAAGTCCCCACCCTGCCTTAATACAATCAGGAGCCAACTCAGGTATGCAGGGGAAAAAACAGCAGGGGAAGAAGATGGATGGGACCTGTCGGAGGAAGGATGAGCGCCTACGCTGATTGCATAGAGAACCATGGCCTCAGGGCAAACCAGACGTGGATCGAGCTGTCCACAGCAATTTCCCCAGCCTGGCATGCTCAATGATGTTCTAGATCATTACTGCATGCTCGTTATACGTCTCTCTCTCAGGGCGGTAGCCTCAGGTGGCTGTCACAGGCAATACTGCTCACACAATGCAGCCGTACAGGAGTCAGGGTGCTTTAGGCTGTAGACGTTAGATTCGAGGTGACACGTTGGTTACGCGAGGTGCCCTGAGTATGTTTGTAGTGATCACCAACAAGTACATGTCGTCCTGGGAGCAGCGTCAGGTAAACTGTTCTGGTATGATTTGTTGATGTAGGTGTAAGGATGGTTGGTATCTTTTACCTTGACTGAAAAGGCAGTGTGTGAGCTTTCTGTCTGTTGACGTACTTGGACAGTTTTGTTGCATTTCATGGATTGTCACAGTTCCTTGGCATGTCTTGGCTGCACTGTTGCACATTTTAAAGACATGTTAAAACCAGCTAGTACTCCTTGGTTGCACATTGAGACAGACTCAGTAAGTCATAAAAATGTAATTTATCACAACCCACTAGTGGCCAGTAAACTACACATGTTTATGTTGCATGTTGAAGGCAGGAAATATTGGAAGCTACATAATTGGCACTTCATGATGGTCTAAGAGTAAGAGGAGAAAACAAAATATTTCTAAGAAGTATGGTTCTCTTACTTAATGTGTGAGGAACTGTCAGGGTACAATGTCTTAATGGCATGAAATGTATCTTTCTGTACCTCAGCCCATGTAATCTTATGCAGTAAAAGAACCTTAGCTTTGGACCTACTTGTGAAACTACATGTACAAATTACTACTATAACAATGTACCTCTGTTTTCTCTCCTTGCATCATGAACTGCCACCTGCCTTACTGCATTCCTAACCTTCGCAGGTGTTGTTAAGTATGCCAAGATCTGATTTGCTCCAGTGTTAAGAAATATAATGTATATATTTTATCAGTTCACAAAAGCTGGATACTTGCCGGCAAGTACAGGGCTCAAAACACCACCTGCATCTGCAGGTTAGTGCAGCTCAAATTGGAGCTGTGCAGGTATTTTTCATATCTAAATGCATCGAAGGCCACACC